AGGGAACCGGAGCTCACCGATCGCACCGAGCTGAGCCGCGCTCGGTGCGATCGTGCCGGGGTCGGTCGGAGCCGCACGCCGCGCGGTGGGTGAGCAGGGAGGGCAGGCAGCGTGTTGTGTTGGTCGCACATACACTGCTCGGCTGGGGAGGGATGCTCTGCCGCTCGGAGTGTGTGTGCGGGTTGTTGGTTTGCTTTTAAAAAAAAAAAAAAGAGTGTCTACTGCAGTGATCGTTTTCCTGCCTGTCGATTATTTATTATTTGATAGCAAACATCCCCGTTATCTTGTTTTCCGGAGTTGTAGATGTCTAAGAAGTCTCACACCGGCTGTTTTGGGCTTGAAAGGAACAGTGTGTTCTGCAGGATGTTGTCCTTAGTGTCCATAGGCTGCTGGAGTTTTTTTAGTGAGAACAAAATAAATGCTTAGAAAGAAATAGTACGTCCGGATTGTTGCATTGATGTTGGTTAGAATCATAGAATCATAGAATCAACCAGGTTGGAAGAGACCTCAGAGATCATTGAGTCCAGCCCTGCCATCGTTACTGGACCATGGTTGTTCCTAAAAGCTTCTAATCACAGCTTTTCCTTTTTTCTAGAATGAATATTGTATTGTCTTTGTTGCCAAACTTATGTAGTACTATGGATCTTTTGTTCTTTCTGCTCAGGAATTGTGTATCTGTGTTACAGGTTGCCCACAGGGGTAGTGGATTCTCCAGCCCTGGCAGTGTCCAAGGCCAGGCTGGGTGAAGCCTTGAGCAACCTGCTCTGGTGGGAGGTGTTGCTGCCCATGGCAGTTAGGGACTGGGACTAGATGATCTCTAAGGTCTATTCCAGCCCCTAAAATTCTATGATCTGTTATGATTATTTTTATACTTCTGATCTACTTTCATTTAGGAAGTGGTTTTGGTTTGGGGTTTTTTTTAATGCATCTTGCTCAAGAGCAGAATTCTCTGTTTCTCCCAATACATTAACATTTTTACTTTGGCCTACAGGAACATTAAGTTGTTTGCAACTTGAAGTATATAAAAGCTGCCAGACCTCTCCAGATGATGGTTTATCACTTTAGGTTACACAGAGGCTCTTAAAAACTGTTGAGGTTGTTTTTTGGCAGTCAACCTTTGGACAGCCTTTTCTAACTTGTTTTTGTGTTTCTTTTGATCATGTTGAAGGATAAAGTGGCTGTATTGCCAGAGACTTGCATTATCTTTTTGCTCTAGGCTTTTTCTCTACTGCTTCCTGGATTTGGTTGGTTGGTTGGTTGTTGGGTTTTTTTATGTTGAACAGTAATTTACACCCAGGTGAGGTGGTAATTTGAAAATGTCCTGAAAGCTCAAACTAAAATCACTTTATACTTCTGAAAAAAACTCGCACAGATTCCTTACTGTCTCTTGGTAATGTTGGTTTGCTTTCTGCTATATTCTTAGTCTGATTTAGTTTTATTTAGTGGTTACTTGCAGGTTGTGGATTTTGCCTATTCTCACTCAGTTCTGGAATTTTTTTGCCATCATTTGCAATGTTCTCTTGCAAAAGCAAAGGGTTTTGTTAGATGTAATAACTGGAAACTCAATTCATTTTGACTATGTTTAGTTTCAAGATTGTTCACAAGAGCATTTTGTTGATGTTGGTCTCTGTTGGTCCAGAGAAGCTACACTTGCTGTTTCATATCTCCATTGTATGTGTGAACTACAAGTCATTGTGTATGATATTTCTTAAATCCATTCAAGTTGCTTAGTGTTGTATCTTCCCCTGTGTTGGCTAAATGGACATTACAGACCAGTTACGATAAATTAAAAGGTGATTAAACAAGGTCAGCAGCTTCTCTTTGGAGTGTTGGGCACATCTGTCTGCTGCTTCCTTGTGAAAATAACACAAGTCTGGAGTAGGGTAAAGTTACACAGACTATTTTTAAAACACTGTTAATTGTTTCTTAAATTGCATCTGCCCCTTGGCAGTGTTCAAGTGCAAAAGAGTAGGTATAGTTTGTAGAATGAATCCTAAAAATGCTGATTAGTACTTAAAGACAGGTTTTTTGAATGAGTGTGATAGTAGAGAACAGAAACTCACTTAATTTCTGTGGTACTCTATCTTGAGCTTAGTGAATGCTCTATGGGCCATGCTTCCAAATTTACTGCCTGAATGTGCATTATAATTGCTGGTGCACATAGTCTGATACAGAGAATGTGTAAGTAGCGCTGAATAAAATGGGCACTCTGCAGATACTATAAAAAAAACCCCAACCCCAACCTACAGGCCTACAACTCTTAAGAAGGGTTGGATGATACCTTGCAAAAATTAGTATTTAACTGGCTTGAAAGTTAGGTATTTTTGATTGCTGTAGAGGAAGGGATGTAAAGGATGTGTTAAAATGGAATATGCTTGAGACCAGCAATGAGGAGAAAGACTTGGGTGTGATGCTAGATGAGAAGCTCACCATGAGCTGCAGTGTGCACTAGCAGCTCAGAAAGCCAATGGAATCCTGGGCTGCATCAAAAAGTGTGTGGCCAGCAGGTCAAAGGAGGTGATTCTCCCCCTCTACTCTGCTCTCATGAGACCCACCTGGAATACTGCACACAGTTCTGATGCCCTCAGTGTAAGAAGGACATGGAACTGTAGAAGCAAGTCCAGAGGAGGCCACGAAGTTGCTAAGAGCACTGGAGCATCTCCCTATGACGTCAGGTTGAGGGAGTTGGGGCTGTTCAGCCTGGAGAAGAGAAGGTTGTGTGGAGACCTTGTAGTAGCCTATCAGTATCTGAAGGAACTCCAGGGAAGCTGCAGAGGGACTCTGTTAGGAGCTGCAGGGACAGGACAAGTGGCAATGGGTTCAAATTGAAAGAGGAGAAATTTAGGTTAGATATTATGAAAACATTTTTTCCTGTGAGGGTGGTGAGACACTGGCACATGTTGCCCAGGGAGGCTGTGGCTGCCCCAACCCTGATGGTGTTCATAGCCAAGTTGGATGAAGCCTTGTGGACTGAGGTCTGGTGGGAGAGGATTGGGACTAGATGATCTGTAAGGTCCATTCCAACCCCTGAAATTCTATGGTTCTATGATCATTTTGCTTAGAGACTATACACTAATAGCCCTAACAGGTGTGTAAAGTAATATGAGATGTTAACTAGTAGCCCTAAATGTCTTGTGGCTTCTTGAGAAATCTAAGACCTGAAGCTTGTCTATTTTTATGTGCAGGTGATAGAAACCTGTGCATGACAGGTTTATAAATCACCAGGTACTGGCAGGAACCACCTGTGCCAAAGTGTCTGAGAGAGCCAGTAATATGCTGGTTCCTCGTGGAGAAAGCATCACTTCAGGATAGCTGGATGCTGCTGTCAGTCTAAGAACAGATATGAAGTGGAAGCAGATAAAATTTGATGACTTTCTGTGCTTAATAATGTGCTTGCTCTGGGTTGGAAATGAGAGTACAGACTGTAAAAAAAGTGCAGCAATTAAGTTTTTGTATTGGTGAATGTTAAATTGCTACCTCTGCTCTTTGGTTCTGTGTATGGAGGTAAATAGTGGTGTTTTTTTCTCTTTAATCAGATCACCCAGAAGACACAATGAGCGTTAAAGCTTTCAAGCTCGTTTCTGCTGTCGAGCGGGAGATGTTAATGGGAGACAAAAACTACATCAACATCGAGTGCATTGAGTGTTGTGGAAAGAACCTCTATATTGGAACCAATGACTGCTTTATCTATCACTTTCTGTTGGATGAAAAGGTATCCACAGCTGGAAAAATAACTTTCGCTGCCACCAAGCAACTGCATAAATACCTGGGTTTGAAGAAACCTGTGAGCGAGTTGAAAGCAGCCTCTGCCCTCACCAGACTTCTTGTGCTTTGTGACAACACGATAACACTAGTGAACATGATCAACTTGGAGCCTGTCCCCACGGGGGCCAGGATCAAAGGAGCTGTGACATTCACTCTGAACGAGAACCCTGTGAGTGGGGATCCTTTCTGCGTCGAGGTTTGCATTATCTCCGTCAAGCGTCGCACCATTCAGATGTTCATGGTGTTTGAAGACAGAGTCCAGATAGTGAAGGAGGTGTTTACTCCAGAGCAACCCTGTGCTGTGGCTGTAGATGGTTACTACTTGTGTCTTGCACTTACTACACAGTACATCATTTTGAATTACAACACCGGCGTCTCCCAGGATCTGTTTCCTTATTGCAGTGAGGAGAAACGGCCAATTGTGAAAAGGATAGGCAGACAAGAGTTTCTCTTGGCTGGCCCCGGAGGCCTAGGTGAGACTAAACTTTTTGCAGGTTTTTAATTTAACTTTTCTCAATTTGTGAAGCTAAGCTAATTACGTGTTGTGCACAATAATGGTTGTTTTCTTCACAGGTCTGTACTGAAATGTTGAGATAAAAAGATAGATTGTAAATCTTTGGTGCTTAGTATTATTATAATTCTCCTGCTTTTTTTAATGCATGAGAATCTGATTATTTGTATTTTAATGATGTCTGTAGGAAACTTCATTTCTGTAGAGAGAGCTAACAGTAGTAGTGTCTTGCAGCCCAGAGCAAAAATATTTATTGTTACCAAGTGAAAATTTAAAGCTCTACAGACTTTCTGTAGTGACTACTCAGATTGGGTTTGAGGAGCCTGATGTTGCAATAAAATTGCTAAATTAGTGGGAATGAGTTAATTTTTTCCTCTGTTGCTGTTCAGAGGAGTTCATACAGCAGAGTCACAGTCTAATGGTTGGACTCTATGATCTTAGAGGTCTCCTCCAGCCTTGATGGTTCTGTGATTCTATATGAATTCTATTTTGTAGACTGTAACAGATTCACCAGTAGGTATATTGTACTACAGTGCTAGTAACAAATTTTAGTGGAAATAAGCTGTATCCTAACTCCTGTCAAAGTAAACTCTGTCCTAACTGTAGTTGTTGTCAGATACCACCCAGTTTTTATACTCCCATTAGATAAATTTTTGTAAGAGTATTTTTCAGCTCTGTATTACACAAAATGATAGTTTAAGTATTGCGAAACCATAGTCAGATCATGTGAAAGAAGTATCTTGTCTAATAGACAGATGACTGTAAGGACTATTGCTGCTGTAATCTGTCTAAGTCAACACTATGTTGTGAGGTCAGTAATCTTGAGCTTTTTTTGGAAAAGCTGCAGTATCCCAGAGCTGACAGACCACAGGCAGAATGCCTTCATGCTGTTTGCCATATGACTCTCCTGTTAGGAGATGCAGTTTGTTTGTTTTCCCTGACACATTAGGAAGAGCATGACACAAAGTTCACAGCTATTTAGGTTCTTATTTCAGGGATCTGTGTGGGTTTTGGCTTTTTAATATAAATTCCAAAGCAAAATCAAGAGTGCAATCAGTTGCTTGTATTGAAGTTTTGTCTCAAAATGGGAGATGTACATCAACACACTAGTTTGTCTTGAAAGAAGTAGACTGTCAGTAGAGTATCAGTAGATATATCCACAGAATTATCCAAATTAAGGATGTTCCAAGATGAACTTGGTTTTTTTTCCAGATATAGTGCTTTTTAAAGTAATTTTGGCTGCCCACTTCTTATTAAAACTCATAGTTGTTTTAGGTATGGACATGTATTTTGTGAACATTAACTGTTTCAGTGATGCTCTGAAACTTAAAATTTGTAAATTAGCTGTCTGAAAGTATATTCCCTTTTGACAGATTTCTAAGGAAATCCGAGACTTACTTTAACTTTTGTTTGTCTTTTTAGGAATGTCAAACCAGATTCTGTTCAAGTAGTTAATTTAATTATTTTTATTTGAGAAGAACAGATATGCTTTCCAAAGCATAATTGTGTTTAGCTAGAAAGCAGAGTTTTATTTAGTCTGACTCTTGCTTTTAAATGGTGTCCTGTAAGAGAGATGGGCAATAAGAGTGTTACTCATAAAATCCAACATAATTGTCTAAGCAGTGTATCTTGGGGTTAGAATATCAGGTATGTGGAATGTTTAGCAAATGGACTTCTGCTCTCAAGATGCTATAAACTACCCTTTTCCTCATGATACAGGCAAAGTCTATCTTGTACTACCTCAGAACCCTTACAGACTGTTTACTATCAACTATACAGTTTTCCCTTGCCTAATTCACCTTGGGTGGTGTTGGTTTTCTAAAATCTGTTCTCTATTCCCTCCACACTGTTGTTCTGGCTGGTATTACCCATCTGGCTGTTCTTTCTTGTTAAAACTCTTAGTGTCTATAACACTTGTCACTCTGAAGTTATAAAGATGGTTGAGGACCTTTATAATAGATTAGCATTGTGTATCTTGGCATTTGAGGTTGGCCTCTGCTGGAAGATGAATGGACTTCAAAAGACTTGCTGTAAACCTTCAGTTCTAATTTTGATTTGCTTTTGTACCTCTCAATGGTCAAGTCATGCTCATTTGGCACTTAGTAGAGCCTCTCTGCTAAATTCAGCCTCTTTTACTGACATGGATGTATTCTGCATTAATATATTTGGTTTATAGTGTTGGAAGTGACAGATTAAGTTGCTTTTGAGTTCAGACTGGAACTTAGATTGGCAGAAGACATCTGCTCAAAATGCTCATCAAAGTGGAACATCTTTGAGTTTATTTGGTATGTAACTTTTTGCCTTACCTGGAGTCTTTGCATTTAAAACTGTTAGAGTTGTTCATAGCAGATTCCCATTCTTATCCATTTGGCACTTTGTTGTCTCTACTTGCAGTTATTGTTTAGTCCTTTCAAAAAGAAGAGGAGCTTCATTTTTGGGGGTCTTCATTCTGTCCAGTAATTAGTTCATTTAGAACTGAAAATCAGTCCTTTCTGTTGCGTATGAAGCTCTGCTTATCAAAATTCAGGTTTTGAGTTTGTGAAGTTCTTGTTGCATGTTTTTAATCAGATTTCCTGCTTTAAGTGTTTAAAATTACAGCAGTCAGTTCTTGCATATTGGCACAGGAGATGCTTCCTTGCACCAGCTGGAGCAACTGCCCCAGAACGTCAGAGGTGTCAGCTCAGACTGAGCTCCCAAGGGAGTGTGCAGCTCATCAAGCCTTGAACTGAAGAGAGCACCTTATGCCTCTTGCCAAGACTAGAGCAAGGGAGAATTTTGTCCCTACCCACAGAGGATGTGTGCTTGGTTGAGGATTTCTGTTGCCAAGTAAAGGAGATGCAGGAGGAGGTCAGCAGAGTGCATGGCATGAGAGATGACAAAAAGGAAATGGAATCTTATTCAGGACCCAGGCATAAGCCTGAACCTCCAGCTGTACAGAGGGAGGAGACTGTCTTCAAACTGTACAGGCTGAGTCTCTGCTTGTTGTGTGATGGCCAAGACTGCAAACTTGTGATGTCTCATAATAGGAAGAACTCCTCTTCTGCCTGCAAATAGACATCTGTATAATATGCTCAGTGCTCAGAGTAGCAGATGAGGAGCAGAGAGTTCTGTCCCAACAATTTATCTGAGCCTGTACAAAGCAGCAGCACCCAGAGAAAGAAGGTCAAGGGCATCTTGGCCTGGCTCCAGCAGAGTGTGGCAGCAGGACTAGGGCAGTGCTCATCCCCCTGCACTGGGCACTGGGGAGGTCCCAGCTCAGTGCTGTGCTCAGCTTTGGGCACTCACTGCCCAAAGGCCATTGAGGCACTGGAGCGAGTCCAGCCAAGGGCAACGAGGGCAGCAAAGGGCTGGAAAACCTGTGGGATGAGGAAGGGCTGAGGGAGTTGGGTTTGTTTAGCCTTGAGAAGAGGCTCAGGGGTGACCTCCTGGCTCTCTGCAACTCCCTGCCAGGGCTGGAGAGAGGTGGGGGATGTGTGTCCTGCCATGGCTGCAGGGAGAGGACTAGAGGGAATGGCCTTGAGCTGAGCCAGGGCAGAGTCAGATTGGATGTGAGGAGAAATGTTTTCCCTGTGAGGGTGTTGAGGCACTGGGATATTGCCTAGGGAGGTGGTGGAGTCACCATCCCTGGAGGTGTTGAAGAGGCCTCTGGATCTGGCACTGGAGGATCTGGTTTATGGTTTAGGGGCTCCAGCAGTGACAGGTTAATGGACTTGATGATCTCAGAGGTCTCCTCCAACCTTGATGATTCTATGATTCTATCACCTTTAACAACATGGATGGTGGGAACAGTGCTCCTTCAACAAGTTTGCAGATGATAGGAAAAATTTCTAGATTATTTGGGTAATTCTTGTAACCTTTGGATAGCCTATGCATTTTTAATATGGAATTGATTAGCAGCCTCATCTCAGTCTCATCAAATGCATTCCTGTGCTATAAAAAGGCCATGATTTCTGATTGTAGTTGTCATGTTTGTTGTTATCCTTAGGTGAGAGCTGGATGAAAACAGAAAATGCGTCATTCTACCACAGAAGCTTTAGTTATTGAGGGCAGAGGGATGTGGAGAGACATTGACTTGAGGGCTCTGCATATCTTTTCACTTCCAGAAAGGATTTTTTTTAAAATGATCTAAAAAAGACCTCTATTATTTAAAAAATATAAGGCTTTTATAACTATTTTTTAGAACATCAAAGAAATAGAAAAGACTAAGAATTAATATTTCCTATGTATTTAGCCCTAAATTTACTACTGATTGGTATGTATTTAATTCAAGTTTCCTCCTACTCTTTGAAATGGGGTTAGAGCACAGAGTAACAACAGGAAACCATTAAAAGTGGACAGTGCAGACATAAAATTCCTGACGTAATATTTCACTTCTGAGCTGTAAGAATATCAAGATCTGTAAATTGGGAATTATATATTATGGCCTCCCAAAAAAAGTATTTTCTGTAAGGTGCTCCAGCTGGAAAGCTGATCATTGTAGTGAGAAAGTGAGTGAGTCAAGGGGATCATTTAAAAGCTGCTGTAAGGGATCCAGAAGCTTAGTCTCTACACCTTAGTTGTGTAAAAATCTACAACCTTCTGTTTTGTTTTCCCTTTTTTTTTCACTCCAGGATGGTAATCCTACCCTTGCCTCCTTATCCTCTGTTTGGAAGAGATTTTGTAAATTGAATAACGTAATCTTTTAATCTCTTGTGTTCTTTAGAGCTCAGATTTACTCTGCCAGCTGTCAAGTGGCTCATCGCTGCCAAAGAACAGTTTGCATGGCCGTGAGAATTCTGGTTGTAAGGGAGATGCATTCATAGTTAGAACAGGTTACATTGTGCTTCAGTAAATGGTAAATGCTTAGTGAACTAGGCCTGAAAATATTGACTGAAATTTTTCTTCAATGGATGCCTTAGGAAGAACTGGTAAATACCAAGTAGCATGAACAGAACCATGTGGTCCAAAAGCAAGTCCAACTTCTGTGAAGCTAAGAGAAGGAAGGAGGACAGAATAGACAGGAGGAAAAATAGTGACAAAACCACCCACAGATTAACTGAAGTTTTAATCTGGTTGTTTCTAAAACAGCATAGGATTTACAATTGTGGTATCATCAAGTCTTTACTCAGTGCTGCTTTTTACACTACATTTCTCTTCAAATAATTGAAGACACAGATGCCTCACAGGAAGTGACTCATCCCAAGGAGCTGGACCCTCGTTCTGCAAAAATGTTGTATCCAAAGTCAAGAAGGATAAGTAAAAAATTATGTCCACTAAAAGCTCTTTAGACCTTTGACATTAGAAGGAACAAACACGACTGCATTGCCAGATAGGTCAGGAGGTGCAGATCTGTGGCTCCAGCTAAGGCAGCATTGTTTGAGTGCTGGGTCTCAATAAGTGCTGATGTTCTGAAATGTATTCAAACCACATGGCATGATTCTTATCAGGAAACCCTGAAACTTACTAAATGTGAATAATTCTTGCTAGTTTCAGTATTCCTCTCTTCTCAATTTTGCTGTTGTCTGTTCCTGTGGTGAAGAAGTTCAACTGAGCTGAATTAACCAACAGGTCTGGGAGGTCCAGGGAAGTGTGATGTGCTGTCACCACCTGATATTGCTCCTCTTCTGAGACCTTGATACTCATGCTCTGTGTTGCAGTCTTCAACTCCCTTTGTTTTTCCCTGGTTGTAGGCATGTTTGCAACTGTGGATGGGATTTCCCAGCGTGCCCCAGTGCACTGGTCAGAGAACGTGATTGGGGCAGCTTTGTGCTTCCCTTACGTGGTTGCTCTCGATGAAGAGTTCATCACAGTGCACAGCATGCTGGACCAGCAGCAAAAGCAAACCCTGCCTTTTAAAGAAGGTCACATTCTCCAGGACTTTGAAGGTATTGGAAAGAGACACTTTGTTGCATCACTAATTGGAAGTAACTGCTGCAGTCACTTTGTTAACCAGCACATCCAGCAAGTATCTTGACTGTTCAAACTTTTATTGCAAGTGCTTTTCTGATTAGATTCCTGCAGGCTTTAGTTGTCCAAAATTCATCACTTCTAACAAAATGTATGCTCATTAAATAGGCTCTAATTGTCAAGTTAATTGCTGGGTAGGAGTCTATGGGGGTTAGAGTTTTTTTTCTTGTAACTTGATTATTTGTTTCACAGGAGCAATACTAATTTAATGCTATGACTCAATAATTGTGGACTGCAGGTGTTTATCCATTGGCTATCCTGACAAAATTCTAACATATTAGAAAGGGATACAGAAGTATAATTTTTTAAATATCTGTGTAAGAGGTTTAAAATAGGATATTTCATAAAGCAAAAAAATACAAACAGTTCTTTCTGGTCTGTTCTTCAGTTTAGAAGTCTTAAGTGTGGAATACTTTTTTTTCCCAGGAAAGCTACAAACTCTAGAACTATAACTTCTTTTTGGTCTGTTCTTCAGTTAAGAACTCTTAAGTGTGGAATACTTTTCTTTCCAGGAAAGCTACAAACTCTAGAACTATGAACTGTATGTTACTTGCTACCTTTGATGTGCAGCTTTCCATTTTCAAATGTAAACCTGTGGAAACACCTGACAGTTCAAAGTCCCTATTTTCTGAAATCTGGGCAGTAATTTCATTGGCCTTTACAGCTTAGTTCATCAAGAGAGATTATAACCAGATTCATTTACTCAGAGTGGAACAAAATCTGCTGTAAATAAATACATTTGCCATTCTCTCTGTGTTTCTGAGGTGTAATTTACAGGTAAATTATACTGTCTAGTAAATGTGGTAACAACAAAGGTGAGTTTTGGAACTTTTACACTGGTTCCTGAAATTAAAGTACCTTAAAGCATTTTTCTGGATTTGTATTTTATTTTTTTTCTGTAGAGAATGTAAACTGAATATATGTGTTCATTCTGTGCAGGAAAGGTGATTGTTGCTACTAACAAGGGTGTATATATCTTGGTGCCACTACCTTTGGAAAAACAGATTCAGGATCTTCTAGCTAGCCACAGAGTGGAAGAAGCTCTTGTTCTAGCAAAAGGAGCTCGAAGAAATATTCCAAAAGAGAAATTTCAGGTCTGTCACTCCTTTAATTTTCATGTGTATTTCCCAGTG